ATTAAGGAATGAAACGGGGGTCGAAGGATGGGGAATTCAATTCTCCATCCAACAGCATTGGTTTAATTCCTTAATGTTACTTAGGAGCAGAGATACGATTTTTTAATTAGCGGGCGAATTGTCGTGAATCACTGCGCCGAGAAACCATTGAGTGTTTCATAGCGCCCCGACTTTCGTCGCAATATTAATTTCCTTATTACAGAGATTAAGGAATGAAACGGGGGTTGAAGGATGGGAAATTTAATTCTCCATCGAACAGCATTGGTTTCATTCCTTATTGTTAATTAGGAGGGGAGAGACGATTTTTTAATTAGCGGGCGAATTATTGGGGAGTCACTCTGCGCCGAGAAAACATTGGGCTTCTTATAGCGCCGTGACTTTCGTCGCAATATTAATTTTTTTAGTGCAGAGATTAAGGGATGAAACGGGCGTTGATGGATGGCGAATTTTATTCTCCATTGAACAGTCTTTGTTTCATCCCTTAATATTAATTAGTCGGCGAATATATCAACTGAAAAACATAAAGTAAACATTGAGTACAAGGAGGACAAAAGTCCCCCTCCGAACCTGTGCCTGTCACAGCGGGACTGCTGCTGCCGAGTTACTCACGCACCCGACTCACATTTACCGACAATTCGACCGGGACGCCGCCTTCCCCCTGGGGTACCAACTAACATTTTTGGAGTCAGTCAAACCCCCCGATCCGGGTCTCTACTCAGGTCTATCCTCTGTGGCCGCACGCGTGGTTGCTGCGACACAAACGTGCGTGTGCGTCCCCCTCTCTCTGGGCAGCGTTCCCCTACCATGACGCCGCCTAACTCCACCACCATAGCTCGGTCTCTCTCATAGAGAGATCGAGATACTCCCTTTCATAGACTGTCCCTTTTGCACAGTACAGTCTATCTCTGTCCGAAAATCCACTCGCCTTCGGCTCGTGATATAAACCTCCCACTCGCCAAAAAACACTTTTTTGCACTCGTTACGAAATATACTATTTCAGGATTCAATTTAATGAGGCTCAAGCGTTTAAAGGATTCAATTTCACGGCGGTTACGAGGGTCAAGCGTCTGAAGGGTACAATGTCACGAAGGCCACGAGGGTTCAATTTACCGAGGGTCAAACATCTAAAGGATTCAATTTCACGAGGGCCACTAGGGTCAAGCGTCTGAAGGGTTCAATTTCACGAGGGTTACACGGATTCAATTTAACGAGAGTCAAGCGTCTCAAGAGTCCAATTTCACGAGGGTCACGAGGGTTCTGTTCAACTAGGGTCTAGCATCTAAAGGGTTCAATTCCATGAGGATCATATGTCTCAGGTGTAGATAGTTACGAGGGTTCAATTTAAGGATGTATTACACCCTTTTCGCCAAAATTCACGTTTTTTGAATTTTTCTGGCAAATTGTTGATGGGATTGACGTGAAAAAATATACCGTTTTTGCGTTTTATCGTTACTTAATGACTCACGAAATTTCATGATCGTGCAATCATTTTCCTGCGTTTTTTCTAAAACTTTTCGGAAATTCACAAAACTTTAGAAAAAATCCAAGAAAATAAGACGCTAAATAAAACGCTAAAACGGTATATTATTTCGCGTCAATCCGATCAATAATTTGCCAGAAAAATGAAAAAAAACGTGAATTCTGGCCGAAAGGGTGTAGTACATCCTAAACGACGTTCACGCATATCAAGGGGTTTAATTCCACGAACGTCAATTATAGTACAAGGCTCAATCGTGTCAATATTATTATGTGCTGGAACGAACAATTGTAGTTAATTGTTAAGCTTTATTGAATTTTCCACATTATCATTTGCGGCCCTGGAAAATTAAAAATTTGGCGATGCCCCTTTGGTAAGCCATTTGGTAACTCTCGTGACGTTTGACTCTCGTGAAATTTGACTATCCCCGTATGACTTTTTTGTTGAGCGACTCTCGTGAAATTTAACCATTCCCTTGTGACCCTCGTGACCTACAATTCCGAGTGGAATTCTTTCCTCAGTCCGACAGTATATTATATTTAAAAACAAATCATGCCGCCAGCATACAGCCTACTTGGCGGGTTATAGCCCGGAGCACAAATTTGCCCGCCAAAATGCATCCCAAATAGCCCATTTGGTTATAAATAGCCTCATCTGGCAACCCTGCCGGTAAGAGTAGCTCGCTTTGTCCGGTAAGAGTACTGAAGAGCCCAAGCACAAGAGCAAAATAAATCACTGCAAAATTCAAAAAGTTTACCAATTCACAAGCAGAACTGCTTATTGTCAAGGCAGAAGAGATTCAGATATCGATTTGATGTCGATCACTAGTTCGTTACCCGTAACTACGGCAGATAAAGCAATAGTTTTTGAATAGTTAATAAGGGGATAATAGTAACGAAATGGTAGGGAACCTATTAGCGGATTGTTCGCATAACTTCGTGTAGCATTTTATGAATCGATGACGAAAAAATTCAAATTTCGCTCTAATGTGACATCAAACATGGCGATGCTACTCAACGCCATCTCCTGGTGCCCAGGCACATCATCCCTCCTCTCATTTCTTGTGCAGACTCTTGTTATTTGTTATTTTTTCCCATATTCTTGCAGAAAAAAAGATAATAATACCACTCAGAAGCACCTCTATCTACCACCGTGTTTTTCATGTTGTGAATCGTGGAATAAATACGTGCGAAATATTTGGAAGAAGGATTACAACGTCAACGTTATTTATTAATTATTGTGATGTTTTGTGAAAGTTATATCAAGGTGAGTCTATTTTGAATCATTAACAAGTGCTTTTCATTTTGATTTGTAGTTGTGTGATATATTTTTGAGGGTTCGTTACCAACCACGCTGCATCATCGTGTTTGACAATTTCGAACAGACGTCAGACGTTTCTGCGTATTGCAATATTCGGTCCATTGTTAACAATTAACATTGTTAGATCAAGTTTTATCGTTTTATATCGTGATTGAGAATGAAATGGGGTTGCAGGGGGCGAGGATGTAATGCGATACTGCCTCAAAATGTAGGATATTTTTAATTAGAACTGGCAGATTTACAATAGGTGGGGATAAACCTATAAAAAGGTCATAATGCTACTTATTTATTTATTTATTTATTTATTTATTCATTTATTTTAGTCTTAACTTCTGCTCCTATGCTGTTTCCTTATTTCTAAATATTTTATACAATATATTCAACTACGCAACAACACGTTTATCAATCACGCACTAGGGAGACGAGAAATTGACACGAGACGCAATAAAAACAGATGGGAGACAAAATTGATTGATTCAGTGTCTTGGAATTCACAAAATACGTTGTACTTACGAAAATGATTTTTTCCTCGTTCAGGAGTTTTAAAAAAATTAGAATTTGCTTTTTTCTCGTGAGATATATTTAAACGGTGCAATTCGTTTTGGGGTATAATGGAGGTACAAAATTAAATGATGAAGGTATTTATGGTTAAAAATGACTTACTCAAATTACTAATTTTTTTGCAGAATGCCAATACAGGCACCACAGTGGACTGAATTCCTGTCTTGTCCCGTTTGCTGTCACGATTTTGATTCAACATCACGTGGACCGATTTCTCTCGGATGTGGTCACACGATATGTCGAACTTGCCTTGCTAACTTGCATAGAAAGCAGTGTCCATTTGATCAGGTGAATATAACTTGAATTAGTCAAAAGTAAACGGTGTAAAAGGACTTCTGAGGAAGTATGCATCTGGACTTTTCTCGATGGAAAGAGGATTACGACATGTGATGAAATGAAAGATGAATGTTCTCACTATTTCTGATTCTCATAAAATTCCTTCAGTCATTTGAACATGCATGAAATTTTAATGAAGACATATTCTGTAATGAATGATTTTTGGAAAAATGTTGAGAGACATCTCTCCCAATACCACGAATTCTCGAAGTATTTATAGAATCGATAAAATCGTTCCACGTTTTAAATTAAGAGGAATCAATTAAAAAAATATAATGTTTTGGTAATGACAGATTTTTTGATAAAATGTTAAGAAATTTGAAATTTTTTTCTGAATGGTGTTCTTGAACTATTAGCGTAAGTGAAAACAGACTTATCTATAATTTCAAAATGTTCCAGAACATTGACAAATCTCCAGATATATTAATTTTAATTTCTGTTGTTAGAATGCAATAAATACGGAAATCGAGCGTTTACCATTGAACGAGGCTCTTCTTCAATTAGTGGGCAATGCAGTCCCTTCACCAGCCAGTTCAGCTCACCAGAAGCTTCTTCCCCCTGAGGATCATGCAGATTACCTCGTCGCAAAGCATTGCATCGAGGAATTGGCCCTTTACCTCAAACCATGCCAGGCGACACCAGCGAATGGCGCTGGAATGGGTCTCGTATCACGTCCCATGCAGAGAAAACTCGTTACTCTGGTCGGATGTCAGTTGGTAGAGCCTGAGGGACGTGCTCGAGCTGTCAGGGCAGCTCGTAGCCTCGGGGAGAGATCTGTGACAGAACTCATTCTTCAACATCAGAATCCCCAACAGTTGAGCGCTAATTTGTGGGCGGCTGTGAGGGCACGAGGATGTCAATTTCTGGGGCCTGCAATGCAGGAAGAAGTACTTAAACTTGTATTGTTGGCCCTTGAGGATGGATCTGCATTGTCCAGAAAGGTTTTAGTGATGTTTGTCGTGCAAAGGCTCGAGCCTCACTTTCCCCAAGCCTCCAAAACCAGCATCGGACATGTTGTTCAGCTCTTATATCGAGCCAGCTGCTTCAAGGTATTTTTCATATCCATTTTATCTTATCTCTCCATTCATAGGTTTTTCATTGATTTTGATTTGATTCTTGGGCGAGTGAATCTTATTGTAACGGTATCATTAGAAAGCCATTCGACTGCGCTAGAAAGAAAATATAAAACAATTTTCATTTTCTGATGTTAATTCGGTGGTAGCTGGTGGACGGAGAAAATATGAACTCAAACCGGATTTGCAGATTATTTTTGCTAATATTTGAAAATGAAGGAGGTTCCAAGAAACTTGGCGTTCTTCATTTTTTATTGACAATTTCGTAAACCAATAGCTTTCCAGCCTTGTTTATGACTATTTGTAAAACAATCTGGATCGCGAAATTTTCACATTCACCGCCTTCCCCTGACGGCTTTCATACATCATTCATCCCCAAAAGGCTGATACAAGAATGATGGAAAGGAATGTATACATTCCCCAACCAAAAACTAAATTATTTGATCAATTATATATTTTGTCGAAAAATATTGTAGCGATGTCACAATTATTCGCATCGATTAATTCACGGATATGATGAGTCATGGAGGACGAAACAACAATGTTTTTTTAGACTACTCCACAAATATCTTCAAAAATTTAATTGTTTTCGAAAAAAGTTTCCGGACATTAGTTTCTAAACTTTATTGCATTTTACCTGTTCGCTGCTTCATTTCTCAGAAACCTTTAGTCGAGCAATTATACATTCTATTGGCTGTTTATTTTATATGAACGGATATTGTAGGTATGCGATAATTAGAAAGTTATTTCATTGCGTTACGCGAAAAATATGCAGCAATTCTCATTCGAAAATTATTAGTTACACTAAATCCATTTCAATCAATGAACGACAAAAATTCTTTGGAAGAACTTCTTTCGAAGAAAGAAAGATGAACCGCTACAAAAGTATGATAAAATTTAGTGAGGAAGTATAAATCAAGAACATAGACAGAGCTTATGAGCTTCACTCTCATCCATCGTTCTTTATTCTCTCATAATAATCTATAGTTCACTAATTAATTCCGTGAATTCTTGAAGGATTTTCAATAATTTTCTCAAAAATTCTCGACTTTCTTCAATTTCCAGAAATTCTCAAAAATTCATTACAACATAAATTGATAAAGTTTCTAATATCTTTGTCCTCGACAATTCTAAACAGATTTAAAAATACACATTCTGATATTTACTAACAAATTTTGATAAATTTTCGACAGTTCCGCCGACACATTTCCTCGACTTTATTGTAACCATAGAGCGTTATAGTGAACGGGGGAGGGGGGGGGG